CAAGGGGGATGTCCGAATGCTGGTTAGGCCTGTGGGATCAGGCTTAAACCAGCATTCGGACATCCGACGAGGGGCACCAGATTAGAGAGGGTGCAGTCTGGGCTGAGGGACACCCCCACCCTACCCCCCATGCATGAATTTCGTGCACCAGGTCACTAGTATAGTATATAAAGAGGAGCCATAATGTATCCCATACTTTTTTTAAAAAAATATATTTTATTGATTTTTTTACAGAGAGGAAGGGAGAGGGATCATTAGAAACATTGATGAGAGAGAAACTTTGACCAGTTGCCTCCTGTACACTCCCCACTGGGGATGTGCCCACAACCAAGGTACATGCCCTTCAGTCTGCAGACTGACGCTCTATCCACTGAGCCAAATCAGTCATGCAGTTTTACCTGAGATTTGTTGTTAAGGGCCGTTAGAATACACTGGGCTTAATTTACGTCAGCTGGGACTCAGGGGGAGGGCAGAGCCACTCCCTGAGGGTAGGACCAGTCAAAGACTGGAAGCCACTCAGTCTGACTCTCCCGCCCAGTGTTAAGGGGATGGATCTCATGATGTCAAAGGCCCACCCTGATGTGATGTAACTTCCTGTAATTCGAGTATATAATAATCAGCTTTCAGAGCTGGCTCTCTCTGTGTGCTCTGTCTCTTTAGAGTGCTGGTACCACACCCAGCCCAAGCTTTTAATCTATTTTATGTCTGTCTTTCATTATTTCTTTAATCCCGATAGCACCTCCTACTTGCATGAACCGGTTCAAGTCTCCCCCTCCGTGTGGGATGTGGAGAGGAGGCCCCTCAGCCCCAGCGCGCTCAGTATATCCTGGAAAGAAGCTCTTGAAATAAGTATGACCTATTGAAACATGACAGACCAGAACACAACCAGGCCATTGGTGGCAGATTCTATATGATAGTTAATAATAGATCAGATGCCATTCAGGGTCACTGGGGTAAAGTGATCCTGTATGAGCAGAGTCTGATAATACACTGCGGCTGACTCCTCAATTATGCTTTACACCCAGAGAAGTTTCTAAGTAGGTGTACAGGTGGGGAAAAGACACCCTCCAAAACCCAAATGTCTGGACCTGTGGGCCCGCGGATTGGCCAGGTGGGAGTCGGTGTCTCATTACATAGGATGTGGTCATAGTGATGGCGTGCACTTCCCTTGATTATCATTGGTTACTCCAGAGAAATCCTGGGCGTGGCCAGCAGAGGCCTGGGCCTCTGGGAAGAAGCCCCACCAAGCACATGGCTCTGCCCAAAAATGGAGGACCCAGGGCAAGATGGAGGGCGCAGTCCTAGCCCCGCCCCAGGGCGAGCTGAGCCCGGGCTCCAGGGACCAGTCCGGTTGCTGGGGGTCCAGCAGATCGGCCAGTTCTAGCCCAGACAGGAAGTCCATGTCCTTCGTCTTGTCCCCGGGGGCGCCGGCGATTGCCTCCTTAGGCAACCTGGTAGCCCCTCCCCCTTCCCCCCCTCCCGGGAAGTCACCATATTGATGCCGAACTTAGTGCGGACACCCGATTGGCATAGCGCACTACAGCCCAGAACTCCTGGGCTCAAGCGATCCTACAGCCTCAGCCTCCTGAGTAGCTGGGACTACAGGCGGCTGCTCGCGGCAGGGAGACCTGGAGGTCGCCGGCTCTTCCTCCACCGCCGCTGTCGTGGGGGTCTGGTCCGGGGGCGGGTGGCGGCCTGCGCCGGGCTCTCCTGCGGGCTGGGGAGTCGGTGCCCAAGGCCACCAGCAGCATGGTCAGGCTGTGCCTCATGGGACCCGGCGGCCGGTCCACGTAGGCCCCGCAATGACTCGCCCTTTCAGAGACCACAGCCCCAACATGCCCGTCATTTTTGTTTGCAATAATATAGGGAACACCTTGTTTCAATGAGGAACTCTTTTCTCCTGTTAATCTTTAGATCTCATCAAGAGACATTTGGAGTCTTTAGTGAGACCTAGTCAATTGTAAATACTTTATAGAGCACTGGTTCTAATGCATCAAGAATCCTGAAATAGGAATGCATTCTTTCAGCTTCCAAGAGTCATTAATTGAGCCCCTAATATATTTGAGACATAGACCTCTCCTTTCAGGTGTTTTCCTTTCCTTAAACAACAGAGAGCAAAATTCTGAACTGCCAGTTAAAGGGCCTTTATTTCTGGAACAACCAGATATCACAGGAAACAGTATTGTTGGGCCTCATACATTTTTCATGTTTGGAGGTTTATGACCATTATTTTTCCTCCCGCAATTAATAAAAATACATCTAATAATTACTAAGAACGATTCCCTCCCCCCATTTTTCAAAGTGAAAAAGGTGAAGCATAATAATGGCAAATTTTATGATAGTGACTGATAACATTTCTTAAGTTATTTATAAATTATTCCTCACTAATTCATTATTATTCTCCATGCTAATACTTTTTGGGTGAGTGAGGAGAAGAATCCAAAGCAAGAGCAAGCTCTCATTTCTGTGTGCAGAAGAAAAAGGAAGAAATAACTTTTGTTCAACCTTTTTCTTTCTTCCTTAGAAAGCACTCACTAAAAATCACAGGGTAGAATGCGGAACCTGAAGGAAATGGAAGTAAGAATTTAGAGTCCTGGGTGACTTGGGTTGTTTGCTTCTGCTTTATGGCGTGGTCTTAGTTTTAATCTTCATTCATTTTTGACATCTATTTGCACATTCATAGGCAGGGAAAAGTGCCTGTTTTTTTATATTTGCCTTAAAGCTCAATACAGTGCCTAGCAAATAATAGATCATTAATAAAAACTTGTTGACTGAATGCTCATGTTAATTTATTCTTTTTTTTTTATGTATTAGGAAGAAAAAAGAACTAACTTAAAATTTGCTCTTTTTTGTTGTTGTTTGGTAACACTACCAAGAATCAATACTTCTTCTTTATATATAAACTAGAGGCCCGATGCATGAAATTTGTGCAAGAGTAGGTCTTCCTTCCCCCAGCTGCTGGCACCGGTTTCCTTCTAGCACCCGAGATCCGGGCTTCCCTCCAGCCACTGACAGGCACCTGGGATCTGGGCTTCTCTCCAGCTGCAGGCAGGCACCAGGGACTGGGGCTTCCCTCGCAGCCCTGGCTT